CTCAAGAATGGCTGGACCGATTTTGACAAATTTTGTCAATTCAGAATGCCCTCTTGACATAAAAGTATAAATCTAAAAAAATTGCAGAAAAATATGCCAATAAAGATGTTAATATAGATTTTGTAGTATTTTGTGACATTTTTTTTATTTTTTCACATTTTTTATCGCATGCGATTTTTTCAATTTGACTTATAATATTTTGTAATATTTTTTCACCTTACAACACAGGTTGGGGATATTATATATATAGTATTGCAAATATCGTCCGATCCTCACGAACATTTTCACAAGCGATCTTCCTATCTCGCCGAGATGAGTGGATCTAGCTATGTATGTCAGTCCGTCTGTCCATGTTAATTTGTAATCAAGCTACAGGTCGCAATTATGAGCCGATCCTCACGAAAATGCAAATGGAGGTGGGCTTATGGTCAGAATAGAACCAATCGACGAAACGAAAATTTACATGGAGTTAGAGTTTAGAAGTGAACAGATACCTACGAATTTGGGTGGCCACCGCACAATAATTAGCCGTTAAAATATACCCTAACTTTTACGTAAGAAAATATTAAAATGTCCTCTATACTGCGAATATTTTCAATCACAGACAAATCACAAATACATTAAAAGATCACTTCTGACCATTACAGTGATGCGAATAGCCAAGAAATCGGATATATAGCAAAATAAGTGCAATATATTTGTAAAAGATTTGATCTTATTTATTCTGCTTATAAATCAAGAACCGCTGGGCCGATTTTCACAATTCCTATCAATTCGGAATGATCTCTTGCCAGAAAACGATAAAATCTAAGAAAATCGCGGAAAAATATACCAATAGAAAAGTGAATATCTTTTGTCGATTTTTTTCAATTTTTGTCATATTTTTTATCGCATGCGATTTTTTCAATTTGACTTACAATTTTGAATTGTAATTTCTCTAAATTTTTACGCCAGCAACACTATGTTTTTAGGGTATTATATGCATATCGCAATTATCGTCCGATCCTCACGAAATTTTGCATGGGGTAGGGTTAGTGTCAGAATTAAAGCCTATTGTTCTTAAGATCTACATTTAGAGGTGCAAATGGTCTAAAAAATTTATTTTTTTCTAATTTTGTAGTCGCTCTATAGGCCACAATTGAAAACTAATCGACACGGAATTTCACATCAGAAGAGAGATGAGGACAAGGAAGAAGTCTAGCATTTTTGATGACCATTGGATTATATTTGGCTGTAAAATGGACCTCAACTTTCGTGTGAAATTGTTTTAAACACTAACAACACTATGGAGTGCGTAAATATTTGCCACATTCTCCGGGTCAAAAAAATAAGGGTAACCTCTGGGCATGGCTATTTGACATTATTTCAAAAACGAAATCTTCCAAAATGGATTTGGATATAAGGGGACTTCAAACATATTGTAGTGTTGTAGGGCATCCCATAGTCGGCCCCGCACGACTATAGCGTTTGCTTACTTGTTTTATTTGTTGTTTTGCCATAATTATAGGAAAATTTTCACTTACTTTAAATCAAACCATGTCGGCACATTAAATGATTTAACACATGTACTATACAGGGTGAGATGAAAAAACTACATCCGTGATGGAATTCAAGCGTGATAGTGTGATTTCTTTATATTTGGCTGGAAAACCACAATTGGCTATCGTTAGAGCACGCCAGCATTTAAATATGAATAAATCTTTTGTGTCTCGTACCATCGCTCGTTACCGTGGTACTGGTAGCGTAGCCCAACGTCCAGGATCTGGACGGAAGAAAACAGCAACATCAGCAGAAATGATTCGAAAAGTAAAGAAGCGACTTGATCGAAACTCGCATCGCAATGGCCGAAAAATGGCTCGTCAGCTGAACATATCGCAACATTTCATTCGGCAAATATCGAAAAATGAGATCGGGGTAAAGCCATTGAAATTCCAAAAAGTGCGAGAACTTATCAAAACATTAAAAACACCGAAAATAAGGAAATAACGCTATATGGGAGCCTTGCCGAAATGTGGGCCGATATGTCCCATTTTTAATACCAAACATACTAGGGGCAATATAAATGTCTGAGCTAGATTGATAGAATGCTTCCCTGAATTAATCTCCGTATTTTAAGGATCTAAATCCACAGTGCGTCGGCTTGGTAGGCCTGCCACTGCAATAAGAAGTAATCTTTTTACTGTAATTTCCTGTCTGGAGTCGGAATCGACTCCAAAACCTGATTTTTACGAAACTATTAAATTTTTCAGATTGTGGCTTGTACTACTTACCCTTTTTCTTTCTGTTAGCTTAGATTTCAACTCCTTAAAACGTAGTAACGCGTTGTCGTCGTTTTCTTATCAATTTCCAGAAATATTTTCAAAATTAATATTTTTGGAATTCGTAATACGTCAATCTTTTGCATTGATTACAAGGTGCTAAAATCGTTTGTAATCAGTTATTGCTTTACTACATGCTGCAATTAATTCAAGGTTACCCAATTTCGAATAATAAAATCCAACTTTGAATTTTCTGTAATTTACTTCCGCAAATTTAACTTGAACATGTTCCGAAACATGCAAATAACAATGAGATGTTGTCAAAAGTATAATTTTGAAAAAATGTGTAAAAATATGATTACACAAAGCAACCTTTTTAATTTTACCAAGGATTTCCTGTCAAGTCAACTGATTCCTGTGAAAAGGGAAATATATACTTTGGCTACATAGGAGTCATATACAATTATTTTTATACCCTCCACCACATAGTGGTAACGGTATTATGTCCTTGTGCATTTGTTTGTAACATGGAGAAGGAAGCGAGATAGACCCATAGTTTCTTTTGGGGATCTTCATAGAATCACTTTCTGAGTCGATTTATGCATGTCTCTTCGTACGTCAGTCTGTCCATGTATTTTTGTGAACAAAATGCAGGTCGCATTTATTATCGGATTGAGATGAAATTTTTCACAAACCATTTGGGCCCTATTGAAATTGGTGAGAATCGGTTCAAATTTAGATATGGCTCCCATATATATGTTCAACCGATTTCGGATTAATTGTGCACAAAGGGACAATCAATATAAGACCAAATGATCTAAACTTCGACCGAATTCAGTATAGAAGCTAGTACATCAAATTTTGGTGAAAATCGGTTCAGATATTGCTATAGCTCCCATATACGGGGTGAGATAAAAAACTGCAACAAAGTCAAACGCCATAATTTTTACATTTCTGTTTGTTGTTGCAAAATGGTCAGGCTTAATACCTTTATTGTTTTAAAATTATTGTTTTTAAATTTTACTGACAAAAGCAAAAATGTCGAAAATACCATCAAGTGCCAACCTTGCTTTCCAAAATACTCCAGATTCAATAGTCCAACGGATTGGTATCCGAAGATTTTGGTGGCGATTGTGCGCTGGAAATGAAGCGAGGAACCTCATTTTGTAACCACTCTTGGGTGCTGAGTCTCCTTGCCCCAAGGCTTTAATATAACCTCCAGAATATTTTCGCAATAATATTCGGCATTTTTTCTGATTCCACGGTCGATTAACATCACCATGGCCGGTGTTTGAGTTCTGGTGGCCAATTGAAGGTTCACATTTTCGGCTGACCTCTTTGGCAAGTAAACACGATCATTTTGTTTGTTCACAAACTGCTGGACAACGAATGTTTTCTTATCGGGGAAAACCAAATTCAACAGTTCACCATTTTCGGCCAAGCGATGCAACTCTTTACCTCTTTTGAGTCTATTTTCTTTCTGTTGCGGTGGAAGTTCTTACACTTTTTGGAATTTCAGTGGCTTGACCCCGAGCTCATTTTTCAATATTTGCCGAATCGAATATTGCGATATGTTCAGGTCACGAGCCATTCTTCGGTCAGTGCGACGCGGGTTTTGATCAAGTCGCTTCTTTAATTTTCATATCATTTCTGCTGATGTTGCTGTTTTCTTCCGTCCACTTCCTTGACGTCGGGCTACGCTACCAGTATCACGGTAACAAGCGATGGTAGGTGATACAAAAGATTTATTCACATTTAAATGCTGGAGTGCTCTAACGATTGACACTTGTTGTTTCCCAGCCAAATATAAAGAAACCACACTATCACGCTTGGATTCCGTCACGAATAACTTTTTTTCTGGAAAATTCTCACCAAAATGCTTTTGTACGCTTGTATGCAATATAATGAGCTATTACTGGAATAATTTTAACAGCTGTCGGACGAGTGGCTTAGAAATGACAGCAGTCTGGAGTTGGTCGCAGTTTTATCATCTCACCCTGTATATGTTTCATCCGACTTGGATATGATATTTGCTACCAGATATAAGATATAGCCCAGGAATATATCTGTTAAATTTTATCGAGATCCCATCTGATTTGGATATAGCTCCTATCTTTATCCGATATCAGGTTTATTGTGCACCAAATGGCTAATATCTACCCAAATGGACTGAATCGTGGCAATTTTGACTGAAATAATACTAGAAATAGGTACTTCAAATTTTGGTTGAAATCGGTTCAGATATAGCTATAGTTCCCATATATATGTTTCATCCGATTTGATGTTAAAGTCCCACATATGCGTAATATACACTTTAAAATAATGATATTTGATACCGGACATCAGATACAGCTCGAAAATATGCGTAATATACACTTTAAAATAATGATATTTGATACCGGACATCAGATACAGCTCGAAAATACCTCTGCCAAATTATCGACATCGATTCAGATATTTATGTAGCATCGATATTCATCTTCATACGACTTTACAGTAATTGTCAACCATATATGTATTATCAGGAGATACTACATTAGGAGTAAGCTCTTTCCTACAATCCGAACTAGGTGAATTGGACTTCTAAAAGAGAATCAGAGAAGATTTCCCCATTGAACTCGACTAAGAGGTCAATTAATGTGATTAATTTGAATGCTGAGATAGGCGGGACAATGTATATATAAAATATAACTTGGCGTAACCGAAGTTTCGATCTCAGATAGGTTTAAATAATGTGAAAAATAGATTTGTAAAAAATATATTTTCCCAAAAGTTCGGTACATTTATTTGAAATCTAACAATGTTTTATTACTACATTCAGTACTCTCATAGCTTAAACACCCGATTCTTCTTCCGATTCGGGACACCAGTGTGATGGTTCCGATGGCACCGTTGTCTGGCCATAAATACAGCTGGTAAATTCATCATAAGCCTCGGCAGAGTCACTTTCATATTTCAAACGACCATTGGTGATACAAACACTCTCTTGGCTATCAATGCGACGCAGCTGTTCCTTGAACTTTGACGATTTTAAATTGGCATTGTTGGAGAGAGTACGCAAGCCTTTGGAGCCCTCGGAGCCCTAGAAAAATTCAATAAATTTCATCAAATAAACTCCTCTTATCGCCTGGTTACTACTTACATTATCCACATAACACTTCAACTTTGATTGGGCGCCATCTGCTTTTTTACATTCCACAATTGCACCACATGAGTCATCAGCCTGTTGGGCCAATTCCTTTTGAACCTCATCCGTTTCAGCTTCGGCTGCAGCACGTGCTGCGGCAGCTGTCTCAGCACAAAGCTTATTACTCTCTTCGAACTGATGTGTAATACATTCAATGGCTGGCAAAAAGTAATCCGAACAGCTTATAGTTCTGGCCGGATTCCTTTGCATGGCACTGGCGGATTTGGCCAGAAAGCGGGCAAGACTGACATTATCCAATGGATTTTTGGAGTCCCCGCACAATGTCATGGCCACACAGGCTATCAATGCAAAACATTTCAATGTAGATTGCAGCGACATGATTTCGTAGATTTTCTTCGTTTTTAGCGCGGTTGCAATGAGTCGACCGATTTCGTAAAATAAAATGTCACACTTTATAAATTAGCTCCGTTTAAATAGCCTTTTCAATTAACCGGAAAAATCGTAAATAAAATAAATTTTATTGCTGTTGTAAATAATTGGAGCGATTGCATTCTGCTTTTACTCATCATGTCTTTGCAGTGGTAAAAAAAATATTCAGTCAGCTAAGAACAAACTTTGGATCTTATCAATACGTTTTAATTTTTGTTTTTTTTTTTTTTTTTTCATTGCAATTAGATTATGGGTTCCCTCAATACCTCATAAAAAAATAGGTTGGATTTCCTATTATTTGAAATTCAAGTAATCAAATAAGACAATGACATAAATAACTCATAATACATTTGCTGAGCTTTGCTGATCCGTCAAGGTCCTAAGGCCTAAAATTAGGGACTGTTGTCTGGACAATAATCTTAGGATTGTTAATGTCAATTTAAATCTTTATTAAAAATACATTTTGAGGATGAAAATGACGTCATGAAATCATTTTTACAAATATGGTCCGTGGGGGTCAGATAAGGCTGGGTTTTCGGAAATTCGTACTAGAACGGTACGAAAATATGAAAAGATTCTAAAAATGGTACCCTTTGTATTTGAGAAAGCAGTCAGGGTCGCTGTTCATGTGTAGCCTGCACAAATGGAGTTGGTTTCGTAAATGTGCTCAAAAATTGTACGAAAAGTACTGAATGGTACTATATATTTGGTATTGGGTGAAGGCATAGATATACAATTCGAAAAATTGATATTTAAATTACTGATGGTATGGTATGTTTAAAATTTTGGCTGTGGTTTGGAAATGCGTCCCACATTTGTACGAAAAGTACTAAATGCTACTTAATTTTGTATTGCGTGAAGGGATAGGGCTAGAATCCTCGAATGCAATATTGAGGTCTCAGTTGGTATTTGGAAATTGAGAAATGGACATGGTATTGGTATGTGTACTATAATTGTACGAAAAGAACTAAATTGATTTGAATTTGGTACAATTTGGTATTGAACAGATAGTGCTTGAGATCTAAAATTCAAATCAATTAAATTGAGTTTAGCGATGAAGCTAATTTTTGGCTAAATTGGTACATAAATAAGCAGAAATTTTCGTTTTCAGAGTACCTTCGCCAGAACCATTGTAAAAGCTACCAATACATCTTGAAAAAGTCATAGTTTGGTTTATGGACTGGTGGCATCATTGGATTGCAAATCTTCAAAGTTTCTGCAAATCGTAACGTAAATAGCAAGCGATATCGAGGGGCGTTATCCAGCTTGTGGCCCAAAACTCATGAGCTGGACCAAGGCTCGATATGTGATTCCAACAAGAAATCGCCATACAACACCTGCGCAAAAAGTGCAATAACCTCCACCGCAAAAGAAAGAAAATAGACTCAAAGGAGCTAAAGAGCTGCTGCTGTCACTAAAAATACTAAAGTCGATCACCTCAAGCAAGCCCTTCGCCGGGAATGGCCCAATATACCGGAGAGCAACATTCGGCCAGCATGTGACGGTTTCATTGGCCGTTTGAAGGCCATAATTCGTGCAAAAGGTGAGCAATTCGAACAAATCTAAACTTATTCTAAAAGTTGATGCTTTTCAAAATATTTTTGGTTTCGTTAAAAAAAAAAAAAAAACTTTTTTTATCTCACTCTGTACGGTGGACAATAACCGTAAAATCAGAAGAAAATATATATCGAAGCTATATAAAAATCTAAACCGATCTCTATAAAATTTGGCACATAAAGCTATAGCTATATCTGAACCTCTTTTTACCAAAATTTAAAGCACTTACTTTTAGTATGAGTTCCATCGGAAGTTCCAAAATTCAGTCCATTTTGGCTGATATTAGTTGTTGGGTGCACAGAAAACCTGAAATCGAATAAAGATATATATGAGAGCTATATCTAAATCTGATACGATCTCGATCAAATTTGACAGAGGTATTTTTGAGCTCCATAAGTTATCTTGTGCCAAATATCATTGTTGTGGAGTTTATATAACGCATGTGAGAGACTTAAACCCCCCTAATCGGATGAAAGACATATATGGGAGCTATAGCTATATCTGAACCGATTTTCACTAAATGTGATATAATTGCTTCTATACTGAACTCGGTCAGATGTGCCAAAATTCAGGACATTTGGGCTGATATTGGACATTTGATGCAAAATTAACCCGAAATCGGTTGAAGATATATGGGAGCTATATTTAAATTTGAACCAATTCTCACCAATTTCAGTAGGGTCAAACAAATAGTGTTTGGAAAATTTCATCTCAATCGGATAATAAATGCGACGGGCATTTTGTTCGCAAGAATACATGGACAGACGGACTGACTGATGCATAAATCGTCTCAGAAAGTGATTCTATGAAGTTCCTCAAAAGTAACTATGGGCCTTTCTCGTTTCCTTCTCCATGTTACAAACAAATGCACAAAGACATTATAACCTTACCACTATGTGGTGTAGGGTATAAAAATGAATTCAATGTCATAAACCAGTAAAAAGGCTGTAAGTTCGGCCGGGCCGACCTTTGAATACCCTCCACCATCTGGAACAAATTTGGCAAATTTCAAAAAAAAAAAAAAATCCGTTAAAAATTCTGTTACAATCTTAAAACTACTGAATGTAGCCGTCTTATTAGAGTCTATACGACGATGTGGACCTGCATAGGCAACTTTTTTCGTAAGCCATTACAATATTAAAATTCGAAACCTAAAAGAAAAATCGGTGAATAATGTAGTTAAAATCGTCAAAATGCCGAATACAGGGTTGCCCATATTCGACGGACCCATCTGGCAATGCCATAACTTTTGACAGAGATGTCACATCGCTTAATGACATACCGTGTTTGAAGCGTCAGCCCAAGCAGATTTTTACAAAGAACCAATACACGCCACGCGAGCGCTCTGAAATAGTTGAAATTTACATTCAACAGAAGAAGTCAATTGTGAAAACTCAACGTGCCTTTAAAACATTAAAAAATGTGAGAAGTGCGCGTTCTAAGAACACCATTAAGCGTTTATAGGAAAAATTTTCTACTGGCAAGGCTCTTTCTAATCCGAAGAAGCCATATAAAAGTCGACCAAGGCGATCGGCCGAGTATCGCTGCCGTACGAGCCAGTGTTGAGAGGTCCCCAAGAACATCCCAAAAACGCCGTTCTCAGCACTTGGGCATGGCTCGGTCCACTTTACAACGGATTATTGGCATTGATTTGCATTTGTTCCCGTACAAAATTCAATTGACGCAAAGAATGTTGCCTGCGGACAAGCCTCGTCGATTGGAATGGGCCCAAAGGTCTGTCGAATATGGGTAACCATGTATAAGGAGGTACCGTTCTATGGGGAATATACCAAAGCATGGACCTGAACAGACAATTTTCTGCCTTAGGCTGTGGTATTCATAACGAATTTCAAATACCAAATTTGAAACAATTCCGGTGAATAATGTCGCTAAAATCATGAAAATACCGAATATAGGGAGGTACCGTTATATGGGGGCTATACCAACATGTGGACCTACATGGCCTATTTTCAATACCAAAAGTTCTGCAGACATAATATACATTTTAGTAAAATTTTATCAACCTTCTTCATTTCGTTCAAAAGCTAGAGTAATTTCCACAGACGGATAGAGGACAAACGGACGGACATCGCTAAATCGATATAGAATTTTATGCTGATTAAAAATATATATATACTTTGTGTATGTATATTTCGAGGTGTTACAAACGGAATGACAAACTTAATATACCCACCATACTATGGTGGAGGGTATAAAAAGGGGCCACAACACATATTTGTACAAAATTGTAGTCCCATGACCAAGAAAAATTAATATTCCTTAATAGCAATGGCTCAATGCCACTCGTCCTACTTAACAATGGTGAGTTCGATGAACATACTTCTTCTCGTTCGAGATCAGTCAATTTACCGCTTAGATCATGAGATTTAACGTCTGTAGAATAATGTTGTGGGACTATGTTAAAGCTCATGTCTATACAGACGGGAACGCATCACTTGAAGTATTGGAAGATAATATTGAGATACCGGCCATAATTTTGGCAGGAGTATGCCAAAATTGGACTAAATGGATGGACCATTTGATCCGCAGTCGACATTTGAAAATAATCTTGAAACATTAAATTATATGGACCGTACTAAGAATTCAAAAAAAAAATCATTATTTTTTCTGCAAAACTTTTCTATAGCTCTTACAAAATAACCCTTTACTATTCATGGTCGCATGTTGCCAAACATAATTTGATTCCGTCACTTATTTTCTACCTTAAATCTAGCTTAGGAATCTAAAATTTCACTTTATGTTATTTGCGTTGCAATTTATCAGGATCTTCATCAGGGTTAATGGTAGTGGGTATTGTGGTACTCTCGCTAGTAGTGGGAACGTTTGTAATCTCACTAGTACTAAAAACTTCTGTAGAGGTAGTTGTTGTCGTCGTTGTTGTGGGAATATTTGAGTTGCCCAAAATGCAGCTATTCAAATCGGCATATGCAGCTGCAGAATCCCGTTCATATTTCACCTTAGCTTGAGTACTGCAGGCGGCCTCCTCACTTTGAATGCGGCGCAGAGTTTCCACTAAATCCGACAATTGCATGGTGGCATTTGTAGAGACACCATACAACGCCTTGGCTTGCTGGGAACCCTAAAAAAGAAGTAAAATATGAAATTATTCCATTCTAAAATGCATTTTATTTCTCCTCACCTCATTGATGTAACATTGAAAAATATCCGAAACAGTAGCTGACTCCTGACATTTGTTCAACACCTCACATGAAGCATTCACTGCATGGGCCAATGTGATACGCTGCTCTAGGGTTGCATCTTCAGCCGACTTTTGTGCTGTTCCCGAGGTATCAGCACATTTGCTTAGATCCGCTGAATAGTTTTGGGCAATATTATTGATTTTGGGAATATAGTAATTGAAACATTCAATTGATTGATCAGGATTTGCTTGCAGATTAACACGAGAATTTGACATAAAACTTAAGAATTCCAAATCTGTGGGTAATTTTCCAAGAGGTTGGCTACCGGCCCATGTGAAAACCAAGCACACACTTAGAAAAACATATACTATCTTTGAAAAAGACATGATTTCCCGTAATTGTTTTTTAATTTTTTTCACAATTTGGATTTATTCAAGTTAAAATTATTTCGAGCTTAACGAATTGTAGTTAATAACTGCTACGGATTTCCTGCCTATTAACGGTATTTATACAAGAAAACAAAAAGTTGGATTTGTCAATCGTTAGGTTTTCGAATAACATATCTTTAAATGACCAAATAATCATTGACCATTAATTAAGATATGATAACCTGAAAAGGGCTTATTAAAAGAAAATAATTCAAAACTATGACGATTCTAGACAAAATAGGCCACATAATTAAAAAAATAGCAACATCATGTAATATTTCAAAACTTTATAGATATGTTAGACCAGACAATGAATTTGTGTTGATTGCTGTATCAACACCAATGTCGATAAAGCTCATAATCTAAAGGTATGTTTACACTTACCAAATCGAGGGGATTTAATGTGACAATTGTGCATACGTCAAATGAAATCCACTGGAACTCGCTGTATGATTTAGTGAACGTTGACATATTCTAAACAGAAAAGAAAGTCCAAAAGTCGGGCGGGCCGACTTTATGATACCCTACACCCCTTTGCATATTTAGTAGAGCTAGAAGAACACTATATATGGAGGCTATAGCTACATATATCTCAACCGATTTGTGCCAAATGTGACATACTTGTTTCTAGGCTCTACTTGGTCGTAAGTGCCAAATTCCATTTCATTTGGGCTAATATTACACGTATGGCGCACAATAAAATGCAAATCGGACGAAGATATGTATGGGAGCTATATCCAAATCTGAACAGATCTCGATAAAATTTGGGAAAAATATTTCTGTGCTGCATTTGATATATTTCACCAAATATCGTTGTTAAAGGTTGCGCATTACAGCTGCGGAGGACAAAGATATCAAATGGGATGAACAATATTTATGGGAGCGGTAGCTATATCTGAACCGATTTCGATCAAATTTTGCATATTTATTTCCAAGCCTTATTTGGCCGTACATACAAAATTCAATACTATTTGGCACATGTTTGGTGCACAAAAAGGCAAATCGGACGAAGATATATGGGAGCGATTATCTCCAATTTCAATAAGGTTCGTCCTTGAGTCAAACGAATTACTTTTGCAAAATTTCATATAAATCGGGCAATAAATGCGACCTGTACTTTGTTTACAAAAATATATGGACGGGCATGCATAAATCGACTCAGAATGTTATTCTATGCAGATCATCAAAAGGAACTACGGGTCTATCTCGTTTTCTTTTGTCTGTTATAAAAAAAATGCACAAAAACATACAGGGTGAGATGAAACAAGTAAAAAAGTTGTAAGTTCGGGCGGACCGAACTTTGAATACCCTCCACTCCAGGGTCTATACGACGACGTGGACCTGCAAAAGTGACATTTGTCATAAGGCATTACAATATTCAAATGCGAAACTTAAAAAAATTGGTAATAATGTATATAAAATCATCAAAATACCGAATATCGGGATGTACCGTTATATGGGGGCTATACGAAGAAGTAGACCTGCATAGACAATTTTCTGTCTTAGGCTGTACTAACTATTAGGAACTTCAAATACCAAATTTAAAAAAATTCCGGTGAATAATGTCGCTAAAATCATCAAAATATCGAATATCTGGATGAACCGTTATATGGGGGCTCTACGAAGAAGTGGACCTGCATAGACAATTTCCTGTCTTAGGCTGCATTATCCATTACAAACTTCAAATACCAAATTTGAAACAATTCCGGTGAATGAATTCGCTAAAATTATCAAAATACCGAATATCGGGAGGTATCGTTATATTGGGGGCTCTAGGAAGTCGTAGACCTGCACAGATAATTTTCTGTCTTAGGCTGTAGTATCCATTACGAACTTCAAATACCAAATTTGAAGCAATTACGGCAAAAAATGTCGCTGAAACCATTAAAATATCGAATATCGGGAGGTACCGTTATATGAGGGCTATACCAAAACGCAGACCTACATGGCCCATTTTCAATACCGAAAGTCCTGAAATATTCTATTCGGCAAGTATTGAAAAAAGAGCTCGGGGTAAAGCGATTGAAATTCCAAAAAGTACAAGAACTTACACCGCAACAGAAAAAATATAGACTCAAAAGAGCTAAAGAGTTGCTTCGCTGAGCCGAAAGTGGTGAACTGCCGAATTTGGTTTTCTCTGATGAGAAAACATTCGTTGTCCCGCAGTTTGTAAAGAAACAAAATGATCGTGTTTACTTGCCAAAGAGGTCAGCTGAAAATGTGCACCTTCGGTTGGCCACCAGAGCTCAAGCGCCGGCCATGGTGATGGTGTGGGCCACCACAACAGTCGATGGTCGCTCTCAGCTCGTATTAATCGACCGTGGCATCAGAATAAATACCGAATATCAATGCAAAAATATTCTGGAGGACAGGACTCAGCACGCCCCACCCAAGAATGGTTATAAAATGAGGTTCCTCGCTTCATTTCCAGAGCACAATGGCCACCAAAATCTACCAATCCGTTGGACTATTGTGTCTAGAGTATTTTGGAAAGCAAGGTTGACAGTAAAAAAAACCAAAGTGTCGATTGCCTCAAGAAAGCGCTTCGCCGCGAATGGGCCAAAATACCTCATAGACCATAATTCGTGCCAAAGGTGACCACTTCCAACAAAACGAAACTTATTCTAAAATTTGATGCTATTTCCGACATTTTTTGCTTTCATTCAATAAAATTAAAAAACACAAGTTAAAAAGCAATAGGTTCGGCCGGGCCGAACTTTGAATACCCTCCACCATTTGGAACGAATTTGGAAATAAAATCCTTAAAAACCGAATATAGCCGTTATATTGGTGTATATACGACGTGGATCTACATGGGCATTGTTTGTCATAAGTCATTACCATATTCAAATTCGAAGCTTGAAAAAAAAACGGTGAATAATGTAGCCAAAATCATCAAAATATCGTATATAGGCAGGAACCGTTATATGGGGGCTATACGAAGACTTGGACCAGCATAGACAATTTTCTGTTATAGGCTGTAGCATCCAATACGAAGTTCAAATACGACATCTCAAACAATTTCGGTGGGTATTGACCTAAACTCGTCAAAATACCGAATATAGGGAGGTACTGATATATGGGGCCTATGCGAAGACCTGGACCCGCATAGACAATTTTCTGTCACAGACAGTAGATCCTATTATGAATTCTAAATACGTAATTTGAAACAATTCCGGTGAACAATGAAGATAAAATCATCAAAATACCCAATATAGGGAGGTACCGTTAAATGGAGGCTATACGAAGTCGTGGACCTGCACAGTAAATTTTCTGTCTCAGGCTGTAGTATCCATTACGAACTTCAAATACCAAATTTGAAACAATTCCGGTGAATAATGTCGCTAAAATTATCAAAATACTGAATATCGGTAGGTACCGTTATATGGGGGCTATACGAAGACGTTGACCTACATGGCCCATTTACAAACTTAACCTGCCTACTGGAAAAATAAACATGTATGCAAAATTTTAGCCTTTTATCTCAATTTGCTCGAAAGATAGCGTGATTACAACAGACGGACAGACAGACAGACGGGCATCGCTAAATCGACTTAGAATTTTACGCTAATCAAGAATATATATACTTTGTTGGGTCTGACATGACTATTTCGAGGAGTTACAGACGGAATGAGAAAGTTAATACACCCTCCATAGTACGGTGGAGGGTATGTCTTCATATTCATTAAAAACTTTTCAAAGAAGATACGAGATTTGCCAAAGGAAAATTGGAATGAATTTAATAAAATAAAAGATTTTTTTATTATTTATTTATTTATGTATTTATTTATTTTTCGAATTCCAACATTTATTTTCTAACTTAAATCTTATTCAATTTTAAATCTTATTTAATTTTTCTCATTTCACCTCAATCAATTTTCAATTGTCTAGCAAGAATTAGTTGGTTCAATTTACGTTGGAATTCATAAAGATCTTCTTCAGGCATGACATCACTGGATTCTGTATTACTATCAGAAGCAGTCGGAATTGCTGCTGTTGTTGGTGGCTCGGTAGTTGTGGGAACATTGGAGTAACCCAAAATACAGTTATTCAAATCAGCATAAGCAGCTGCAGAGTCCTGTTCATATTTCACCTTAGCCTGAGTACTGCAAACGGCCTCTTCACTTTTAATGCGGCGCAGTGCTTCCACTAAATCCGACAATTGCATGGTGGCATTTGTAGAGACACCATATAACACCTTGGCTTGTTGGGAACCCTATACAACGAAGGAGAAGAAGAATATGGCATAACTTCGTTTTGGGAAAAATGTGAATATTTTCATTTCTCCTCACCTCATTGATATAACATTCAAAGACATCCGGAACAGTAGCTGACTCCTGACATTTATTCAATACTTCACATGAAGCATTTACTGCATGGGCCAATGTGATACGCTGCTCCAGGGTGGCATCTTCGGCCGCCTTGTGTGCCTTTTCCGAAATCTCAGAACATTGAGTTAGTTCCGTAGAATAGGTTTGGGCAATGTCATTGATTTTAGGTATATAGTAATTGAAACATTCAATGGACTGATCAGGATTTGCTTGCAGGTTAACACGAGATTTTGACATGAAACTCAATAATCCCAAATCTGCGGGTAATTTGTGCAACGCTTGGCTACCGGCCCATGTGAAGACAACACACACGCAGAGGAACACAAATGCGATTTTCAAAGAAGACATGATTTTCTTTTATGTTTTCACCACGATTTTCACAAATAATTTTACGATTTCAATTTTACGTTTACTTTTAAACGTTTTGAAAGTATGTTTAGAACTGGTGCTCATTTCCTTCCCAACTAAGGTATTTATAGTAAAAGTCAATGAGTTGGACTCCGTAATATCTGTGACGTTAGTTGGACAAATATTTCAATGGGGTATCTTTAAATGACTAAATATTCATTGGTCATTAATTAAGATATCTATAGATTATCTTTAAAACAAAAACTTATTAAAATTGAGTACTTTCGAATCGTTTAATATTGATTTTCTAGTCCAAATGAATCATTCACTCGAAAATAATCACATTGTGTAATATTGCCAACTTTTCTAGATTGGTCTGGGGGACAAATAAAAAATTTAGGCGAAAAATTATTTAAAATACTTAAATCACAATGACGTGGTAGTTTTATGTTTTTATGGAAACTAGGGGTTTCTCTATGTACTTAGGTGATATTGAAAATAAGTTCTAAGTTATATGAATGTTTGGAACTGAAAAAGGCTAAATTAGAAAGAACCAGTAAAGAAAGTCCTAAAGTCTGGCGGGCCGATTTTATGATACCCTACACCACTTTGCTAATTTAGTTGACCTCCACATAACAATTAAAAGTTTTTATGGGAGAATTCAATCATACACCCTATGATTATAATTATAATTTAAAATTCAAAGGACTAAATATGCCGAAGCATTTGTATATTTTAAATTTGGACTTGTATTGCCCATTTGGTTCAAAATTAATTTGAAATCAGATAAAGATATATATGGGATCTCGATAAAATTTGGCAAAGATATTTCTGAGCTGTATTTGATATATTTCCCTGAATATCGTTGTTACGGAGTGCATATTACGGCTGTGGGTAACAAATGGGAGGAACAATATATATGGGAGCTATAGATATATCTGAACCGATCTTCACCAAATTTGGCATACTACCTTCTAGACTCAATTCGGTCGTATGTGCCAAATTCCATCCCATTTGGGAAAATATTAGACGTTTGGTGCACAATAAAAAGTAAATCGGACGAAGTTATATATGGGAGCTATATCCAAATCTGAACCGATCTCGATAAAATTTAGCAAAGGTATTTCTGAGCTGTATTATATATATTTCTCTGAATATCGTTGTTACGGAGTGCATATTACGGCTGTGGGTAACAAATACAACAAATTAGATGAACAATATATATGGGAGTTATAGATATATCTGAACCGATTTCGATCAAATTTGGGACACTTATTTTCAGGCCTAATTTGGTTGTGTGTGCAAAATTCCATACTATTCGGTGCACAATAAAAGGCAAATCGGACGAAGATATATATGGGAGCTATATCTAAATTTTTACCGATTATCTCCAATTTCAATAGGGTTCGCCCCTGGGCCAAAAAAATGTTGTTTGGAAAATTTCATCTCAATCGGATAATAAATGCGACCTGCATTTTGTTCACAAGAATACATGGACAGACGGACGGACGGACAGACGGACTGACATGCATAAATCAACTCAGAAAGTGATTCTATGCATATCATCAAAAGGTCTATCTCGTTTCTTTTTGCCTGTTACAAACAAATGCACAAAGACATAATACCCTCACCACCTTGTGGTGTAGGGTATAAAAATCTTAGATTATATTTGGTTTGGTTAACGATTTTAGCACATTTTTCACACTTTCGCATAGGCCCCGTATAACCGTAAATACCGATTTTTGGCATTTTTCCTTTTTAAATACATTTTTCAACGAAATTATCTTTAAATTGATTTTTAGAGTTCGCATAGACCATCTCATGCAGATAATTGGCAGAAAAAGGTCCATGCTTTCGTATGTTCCACCCGATATTTGGAATTTTGATAAACATACCCCCATTTGGCTACAGTAGTCCCTATTGAATCCGTTTCCAAATCTGTTTCAGGACATTTGGAGTTGATGGCTTGTGTACGCGATAAGTCTCGAAGGGAGTATCCGACTTGGTCCAAACTTGGTACATCGTACTATTTTTGTCAAACTTAGATTGAGTTCGGAGATGGGCAATATAGGCCCACTCCTTCTGCTACTCCCCCACAAAAGGTCGAAATTTTCAAAAATATATTTTCTGCACAGAAAGATAAACGATAATCCGATTTTGCTCCAACTTTGCAAATCCTAATATTTTCGTCAATGCTACATCAGGTGCGAGAATTTACAATATCGGTCCACTCCATTAAGTACCTTCCCAACATTTTGAATTATTACAACTCTTATAAAATGTGAGGTAAGAGTCCGATTGTCTTTAAAGATTTTAGCGACATTATTCACCGGAATTGTTTCAAATTTGGTATTTGAAGTTCATAATGTATACTGCAGCCTAAGGCAGAAAATTTTTTGTACAGGTCAACATTTTGGTATAGCCCCCATATAATAGTACCTCCCTATATTGATGATTTTAGTTCGACCCGGCCGAACTTACAGATTTTTTCTTGTTTTTTTCTTCATTGATTGAAAGCAAAAAATGTCGGCAATAGCATCAAATTTTTGAATAAGTTTACATTTGTTCGAATTGGTCACCTTTGGCACGAATTATGAACTTTAAACGGCCAGCGCATAATGGTGTCATAACCGTCACACGCTGCCCGAATGTTGTTCTGCGGTATTTTGAACCATTCCCGGCGAAGCGCTTACTTGAGATGATCGACACTTTGGCATTTTTTAGTGCCAACCTTGCTTTCCAAATGACTCCAGACACAATAGTCAAACGGATTGGTATACGGAGATTTTGGTGGCCATTGTGCGCTGGAAATGAAGCGAGGTACCTCATTTTGTAACCATTCTTGGGTGGCGCGTGTTGAGTGCGATGGTGCTGAATCCTGTTGGAATATCCAAGGTCTGCGGCCAAAATGTTTGCGTGCACAAGGCTTTAATATACCTTCCAGAATATTTTCATGATAATATTCGGCCACGGTCGACTAATACGAGCGGAGAGCGACCATCGGCTGTTATGGCTGCTCACAACATCACCATGGCCAGCGCTTGAGTTCTGGTGGCCAACCGAAGGAGCACATTTTTAGCTGACCTCTTTCGCAAGTAAAAACGATCATTTTGTTTTTTTACAAACTGCTGGACAACGAATGTTGTCTCATCGGACAAAACCAAATTCAGCAGTTAACCACTTTCGGCCAAGCGAAGCAACTCCTTAGCTCTTTTGAGTCTATTTGCTTGCTGTTGCGGTGTAAGTTCTTGCACTTTTTGAAATTTCAATGGCTTTACCCCGAGCTCATTTTTCAATCTTTGCCGAATGGAATATTGCGATATGTTCAGCTCAGGAGCCATTTTTCGCTTCTTTACTTTTCGAACCATTTCTGCTGGCATTGCTATTTTCTTCCGTTCACTTCCTTGACGTCGGGCTACGCTATTAGTATCACGGTAACGAGCGATAGTACGAGACACAAAAGATTTATTTACATTTAAAATGCTGGAGTGCTCTAATGATAGCCACTTGTGGTTTTCCAGCCAAATATAAATAAATCACACTATCACGCTTGAATTCCATCACGAAATTCCGCTCGGACGAGTGGCTTAGAAATGACAGCAGTCTGAAGTTGGTTGCAGTTTTTTCATCTCACCCTGTATTTTTCAACCGACTTGGTTGGAAAGTTTTATTTTGGTTTCTTCGGAGCTAGAAAAACATATATGAGAACAGTGCACCCTAAACTTACTTTTTAAGGCAAATCGCTTGAGGAATGTGGTCCACACCCAAGCAATAAATAAAATCTAGAGGGATCGGATCAGTGGTTAGAATCCGTCTTAATCCGAAAATTAAAAAAAATGTGAAGCAGGAGGAAAATTCCCCCTCTATTTAGAGTAAATTTCAATGTCAACTTTCAAAATGCCGATACACATGTCTTCTATTTTTAGCTCCACTTTCAAAATCTGCTGGATTTTCTCTGCAATTATTGAAAATAAAATATTGTGTTGCCTACTTTATTTGTCACTTTAGAATTTATTCCATAGCATTTTCTAGTTAATTTCAATGTTGTCTTATGGCATAAAATCGTTTTGTTCAATTTTACTTTGTTTTGATAACAATTGCAGACTGATAACATATTGTTTCTATCATGGTACAATGAAATCAAGGTAGGGCGCAGCTACTAATCAATGTAAACAATTCTAGATATTTTATGTACAATCTAGCATGATTGACTGAAAACCGTATTAGGTCTTCAGTGACATAAGAATATATATATTTTTTTTTTTTTTTTTGCTTTTGTCATATTTTAAAAATTTTATTCTAACCCCTTACTTCGCCTGTATCTCCCAAATCCCTGCACAATATTTTTTACTCCTCAATGATTTATTTTTAATGGTCAAAATATTTTCTTATCAAAATGTTAAGCTCTTAAGCGCCAAGTGGATCCGAACGGCTAATAATAAGGCTGTTCATGCGTTGATAATTACTGGCGGCACTTCAAAAGTAAAATAAGTACTTGAATTATTTTTCAATTATGGCCGAATCATGTCAAAAAAAAACTATTTTTGGACACCAACTGTCATACACGAAATTTGTCATTCACGATGGAATAAATCAATGAAAGGAAATTTTTTTTATAAATTTTTCGTACTTACCAATGGCATATGTCTATATCAGTTTATGACTAAAAGAGTAGCAGTCCAACTAAGTTAGATGACAGGTGCAGTTGAGGATATGATATTATCGGATCACTATACACAATATACAATTTCCTACAGAGAGAAAAAATGCGTGATCAAACATTTCAAATCTACCTAAATCTAAAATTTGAAGGATAGCTCCAAAAAAATTGGATGGAATTTGGAATACAATGTGTTCAAAAAAAAAGTTATTCATGGTCAAAGGTCAACATGATTTTTTTTTTTTTTTTTGATTTTTCTCGAAAATGGTAAGCTTTATCAAATTACTGAATACTCAACCTTTTTTTGTACTGGAGTTGTGAGGTGTTGGCGAGTGACTTTGCAGAAAAAAATTAAAATTTATCTGAATTTCAAAATTGTTGATAGTGGACATACAAGACAATTAACTTTTTTTTTGCTTACTATATTTTTTGTTTATACATATTTGATAAGTGCGGCCGGGTCGGACTTCTGACACCCTTTAACATCAAAAGAATAAACCATTTGGAAAAGTGGCAGAGTCACAAAAAAAAAACCAAACAAAAGCTCATATCTATACAGACGAGTCATATTCATTGGCGCATTGGTAGACAACATTGAAACATTTATTCGTGAGATACCGGTCAATATGTTGGAAAGAATATGCCAATATTTGACATAGCTTGAATGAAACTGGAATTATGAAATAATCTTCAAACATTAAATTATATGGGCCTTACTCTCAATGCTAATAAGATTTCACAGATTTTACTACTCTACAATATTAGTCGGAGACCCCATAAAGTATATACAGGGTGAGATAAAAAAAATGCAACAAAGTCAAACGCCATAATTTTTACCTTTTTTTAACTTAATTGAATAAAGCAAAAAAAATCGGAAAGAGCATCAAAGTTTAGAATAAGTTTAGATTTGTTCGAATTGGCCACCTTTGGCACGAATTATGGCTTTCAAACGGCCAATGAAACCGTCACACGCTGCCCGAATGTTGCTCTACGCTATTTTGGTCCATTCCCGGCGAAGCGCTTGTTTGAGGTGATCGACACTTTGGTATTTTTTAGTGCCAACCTTGCTTTCCAAAATACTCCAGACACAATAGTCCAACGGATTGGTATCCGGAGATATTGGTGGCCATTGTGCGCTGGAAATGAAGCGAGGAACCTCATTTTGTAACTATTATTGGGTAGCGCGTGCTGAGTGCGATGGTGCTGAATCCTGTTGGAATGTCCAAGGTCTGCGGCCAAAATGTTTGCGTGCCCAAGGCTTTAATACACCCTCCAGAATATTTTCGCAATAATATTCGGCATTTATCATTTTATCATGTTTTATCATGCCACGGCCGATTTATACGAGCGGAGAGCGACCATCGGCTTTTATGGCGGCCCACACCATTACCATGGCCGGCGCTTGAGTTCTGGTGTCTGGTGGCCAACCGAAGCTGCACATGTTCGGCTGACCTCTTTGGCAATTAAACACGATCATTTTGTTTGTTTACAAACAGCTGGACAACGAATGTCCAGCTCTTTTGAGTCGATTTTTTATACCCTCCACCATAGTATGAAGGGTATATTAAGTTTGTCATTCCGTTTGTAACACCTCGAAATATACATTTTAGACCTCAAAAATATATATATTCTTGGTCAGCATAAAATTCTATGTCGATTTAGATTTAGATGTCCGTCGGTCTGTCCATCTGTGGAAATCACTCTACCTTCCGAACGAATTGAAGTAGATTGATAAAATTTTGCCCAAAAGTATATATTATATCTGCAGAAATTTTGGTATTGAAAATAGGTCATGTAGGTCCACGTTTTGGTATAGCACCCATATAACGGTACCTCCCGATATTCGGTATTTTGATGTTTTTAGCGACATTATTCACCGGAATTCTTTCAAATTTGATATTTGATTTTCCAAATGGATACTACAGCCTAAGACAGAATATTGTCTGTGAAAGTCCACGTCTTCGTATAGCCTCCATATAACGGTACCTCCCGATATTCGGTATTTAGATGATTTTAGCTACATTCACCGATTTTTATACCCTCCACCTTGGAAAGGAGGGTATATTAACTTTGTCATTCCGTTTGTAACATCCTTAAATATTCGTCTTAGACCCCATAAAGTATATATATTCATAATCAGCATAAAATTCTAAGTCGATTTAACGATGTCCGTCTGTCTGTCTGTCTGTCTGTCCGTCTGTCTGTTGAAATCACGATACAGCCTACATTATCTGACGTAGAGCGCCAAAATTTAGCAGAGCTATTTGCATTGTGTCTAGGATGGTTGGTATTGAAAATGAGATATATCGGTCCACGTTCTGGTATAGTCTCCATATAACGGTATCTCCCGATATTCGGTATTTTAGTTTTTTGGCCACATTTATTCACGGATTTGTCTAAAAATTGGTATTTGTGGGTCATAATGGTTTCCAGCTCCGGTGGCGAAACATTGCATGTATAGGTCCACGTTGTGGTATAGCCCCCATTTAAAGGTAACTCCCGATATTCGGTATTTTAGTTTTTTTGTCACATTTATTCACGGATTTGTCTAAAAATTGGTATTTGTGGGTCATAATAGTTTCCAGCTCCGGTGGCGAAACATTGCATGTATGGGTCCATGATTTGGTATAGCCCCCATATAACGGTACCTCCCGATATTCGGTATTTTGATGGTTTTTGCCAGATTTCTTCTAATGTTTCTTTTACCCTATGGTGGAGGGTATTAAAAGTTTGGCCCGGCCGAACTTAATGTTTTTTTACTTGTTTAGTTTCGCATTTGAATATGGTAATGCTTATGACAAAATTTACCTGTGCAGGTCAGTGTCGTCGTATAGACCCTAATTTAACAGCTACATTCGGTATTTTTAAAATTTTAACAGAATTTCTAATGGATTTTATTGTTTTTTGAGAAGAGCCAAACTCGTTCCAAATAGTGGAGGGTATTCAAAGTTCGGCCCGGCCGAACTTACAGCTTTTTTACTTGATGGAATTCCAATGGCTTTGCCACGAGCTCATTTTTTCAATATTTGCCGAATGGAATATTGCGATATGTTCAAATCACGAGCTATTTCTCGGCCATTGCCACGCGGGTCGAATGATCGAATCAAATCGCTTCTTTACTATTCAAACCATTTCTGCTAATTTCAAAGAAAAATCGTTACATGGGGGCTATACGAAGACGTGGTCCTGCATAATTTTTTGTCATAGGCTGTAGTACCCATAACGAACTTTAATTTTGATAATTTTTCTAGCGTCTACAAACGGCATATCCAAATGAATATACCATTCATAAAATACATAAAAAACATTTGGACAATATTAAATTTAAAAAAAAAATGACAGCAAGACCCTAATAAATCATATTATTTCATGCCGTCGCTAAATTTGCCCCCCACTCCCCTACCAACCTTCTCAATTATATAAACACCTAATTAATGGCGCCATTATCAATAGACTTAAGAAATTTATTTGATAAACCAATATGTTAACACCATTCCTTCCATTGTCGAAATCGCTTGCCAAACTATGAATTGTAACATAATTCTAATAGCTTTCGCAAGTCTTTGTTGTGCTGTGACAAAGGCTAAAACGAATTCTTTGTTCTCCTCCAGCTCAGATTCGCTGGCAAATCATGAAGAATATTTAAAGTGTTTCAATAATTATGTTAAAAATATTAATGCCATTTCGGCGACCTATAACTCGGACCTAAGCAAATGCACGGAAACATCGCAACAAAATGAAATTGCAGCCGAAGTAGCCGCCACGGAGCCCAAAGATGATTTGACAAATAAAATGAATATATTTTGTACGGTTCTCGAGCAGTGCCAACAGCCATCGCTGACAATAGAAAATTCGTTGCAATGTTACATTACAGAGGTATGTACAAATATAGAACATGCTTTGTATTTTAGAGATATTTTGACGGTTGCAACTTTTCTAGGGCTTAAATGGTGCCAATGTCTTGCTGGATATATTAACCACTGCCAATCAACAGCTGATGGAATTCGAGGAAATTTTGAGACAACTCATTGGCCAAAAGATCGATTGCGCGCAACAGGCAAGCGATAAATATATGCAAAATGTGGCGATGGCATATCTGGAATTAAATAACTGTTTTTTACAAAAGAGTGGTGTTCCGACAATACCACCTTTTTTAGGCTTTTGATTTACAACATGTGCACAAACCTGATAAATAAAGAATAAATGAGCTTGCTTGTGGTTGCGTAGCTTAAAATTTCCCCCATTAACAGGAAATGCGTCGTTGTACCCTACACCACAAGGTGGTCAGGGTATTATGTCTTTGTGCATTTGTTTGTAACAGGCAAAAAGAAACGAGATAGACCCATAGTTCCTTTTGATGATCTGCATAGAATCACATTCTGAGTCGATTAATGCATGTCCGTCCGTCCGTTCGTCTGTCTCTCCGTCCGTCTATGTATTTTTGTAAACGCATTTACAAAATGAAGATGAAATTTTGCACAAATCATTTGTTTGGCCCAAGGACGAACCCCATTGAAATTGGAGATAATCGGTCAAAATTTAGATATAGCTCCCATATATATCTTCGTCCGATTTGCCTTTTATTGTGCACCAAACGTGTAATATCAGCCTGAATAGTATGGAATTTTGCACATATAACCAAATTAGGCCTGAAAATAAGTATGCCAAATTTGATCGAAATCGGTTCAGATATAGCTATAGCTCCCATATATATATTGTACGTCCGATTTGTTGTTTTTGTCCTCCGCAGCCGTAATATGCACTCTGTAACAACAATATTTGGGGAAATATAGCAAATACAGATCAGAAATATATTTGCTAAATTTTATCGAGATCGGTTAAGATTTGGATATAGCTCCCATATATAACTTCGACCGATTTACCTTTTATTGTGCACCAAACGCTTAATATTTGTCCGAATGGAATGGAATTTGACACTTACGACAGAATTGAGCCTAGAAGCTAGTATGTCAAATTTGGTGAAGATCGGTTCAGATATAGCTATAGCTCCCATACATACTGTACATCCGATTTGTTATATTTGTCCTCCGCAGGCGTAAAATGCACTCCGTAACAACGATATTCAGGGAAATATATCAAATACAGCTCAGAAATACATTTTTTAAATTTTATCGAGATCGGTTCAGATTTGGATATAGCTTCCATATATAACTTCGTCCGATTTACCTTTCATTGTGCACCAAACGTCTAATATTTGTCCAAATGGGATGGAATTTGGCACTTACGACCGAGCTAGTATGTCATGTATGAGTCTAGAAGCTAGTATGTCAAATTTGGTGAAGATCGGTTCAGATAAAGCTATAGCTCCCATATATATTGTTCATCCGATTTGTTATTTTAGTCCTCCGCACCCGTAATATGCACTCTGTAGCAACAATATTTGGGGAAATATATCAAATACAGCTCAGAAATACATTTGCTAAATTTTATCGAGATCGGTTCAGATTTGGATATAGCTCCCATATATAACTTCGTCCGGTTTACTTTTTATTGTGCACCAAACGTCTAAAATTTGTCCAAATGGGATGGAACTTGGCACTTATGACCAAATTGAGTCTAGAAGCTAGTATGTCATATTTGGTGATGATCGGTTCAGAAGTAGCTATAGCTCCCATATATACTGTTCATCCGATTTGTTATATTTGTTACCCACAACCGTAATATGCACTCCGTAACAACGATATTCAGGGAAATATATCAAATACAGCTCAGAAATATCTTTGCCAAATTTTATCGAGGTCGGTTCGGTTCAAATTAATTGTGCACCAAATGGGCAATACAAGTCCGAATTTGAAAGATACAAATGCTTCGGCATATTTGGTCTTTTGAACTTTAAATTATATTATAATCATAGCGTGTATGATTGAATTCTCCCATAACAACTTTTAATTGTTATGCGGAGCTCTACTAAATTAGCAAAGTGGTATAAGGCCGGGGCCGACTTTAGGATTTTCTTTACTGGTTTTTAAATGAGATAATATGGATCTAATATGTAAGTTTGTTGAATTGATCTGGAACTATGGTGTTGGTCCGGTTGTTGACGATTTGCGGGTAATCGGGTATTACGATGCTGATATTAGGGTCATATACGAAGTGTAAGTAATCGATACCAGGGTTCAGTTAGCTTCGATATAACGATAATTGGGAACTGTTGCATGGTCGTCGGACGAAGGGTTTGAAATTTTAGACGGCTTTAAAACCGAAGTCGGACCGATTTCGTAAGATTATCCATGGGAAATTCGGAATTGAAATTAGAATTGTCGGAAGAACAATTGTTGTTGTGTACATTTCTGATTTTGTTTGCCGACTTTCTAAGCATGTTTGGTCCGAATTCGAAAGAAAGGTTCTGATGTAAGTACAATGTGGCGCCAAAGTAATCCTCCTATCAGAAAATGCTATAAGTTTTACGATTGGCCCCTCGTGTAAGTTCTGTTTTGACATTGTAGTAAACACATGCAAAATACACGTTAATAAACAATGTAACGCTACACTGCTCCAGAAAGCGGAATATTGGTGATGATGATGAAGATAATTTTTCATCATAAATAATCCTGAGTGATGACGTCCATTTCCATCTTTGCCGGTACGCAAATAAGCAAAATTTACCCTTCTGGGGCACTAAAATTTGTGTGTAAACCACGAAGAGCCCTTACACCCGCTCAACGTCACTGTATGTCATCGGGCCTTTTTTCTTCGAAGACATTGTGTATCAAACGGTTACTGTGAATGGTGAGCGCTACAAATGCAGAAGGATGCACGTCCCGGGCGCCTAATCTCCCGTTTTGGCGAGATTGCCTGATTTGACCGCTCCAGACTTCTTTTTGTGGGGCTTTTTGAATTCGTGGGTTTACAGAGTGAGATAAAAAACTGCAACTATGTATTGTGAGCGCTACAAATGCTGAAGGATGCACTTCTCGGGCGCCTAATCTCCCGTTTTGGCGAGATCGCCTGATTTTACAGCTCCAGACTTCTTTTTCTTTGGCTTTTTGAAGTCGTGGGTTTACAGGATGAGATAAAAGAACTGCAGCAAAGTCAAACACCATAATTTTTACATTTTTTTTAATTTTATTGATTGAAAGCAAAAAATTTCGGATAGCATCAAATTTTACAATAAGTTTAGATTTGTTCGAATTATGGCCTTCAAACGGCCAATGAAACCGTCACACGATACCCGAATGTTGATCTGCGATATTTTGGTCCATTACCGGGGAAGCGTTTGCTTGAGGTGATCGACACTTTGGTACCTTTTAGTGCCAACCTGGCTTTCCAAAATACTCCAGACACAATAGTCCAATGGATTGGTATCCGAAGATTTTGGTGGCCACTGTGCGCTGGAAATGAAGCGAAGAACCTCAATTTGTTACCATTCTTGAGTGGCGCGTGCTGAGTGCGATGGTGCTGAGTTCTGTTGGAATGTCCAAGGTCTACGGCCAAAATGTTTGCATGTCCAAGGCTTTAATACACCCTCCAGAATATTTTCGCGAAAATATTCGGCATTTATTCTGATGCCATGATTCTGTCGATTAATACGAGCGGATAGCGACCATCGGCTGTTATGGCGGCCCACACAATCACCATGGCCGGCGCTTGAGTTCTGGTGACCAACCGAAGGTGCACATTTTCAGCTGACCCCTTTGGCAAGTAAACACGATCATTTTGTTTGTTTACAAACTGCTGGACAACGAATGTTTCCTTATCGGAGAAAACCAAATTCGGCAGTTCACCACTTTTGACCAAGCGAAGCAACTCTTGCACTTTTATACCCTCCAACATACTATGAAGGGTATATTAATTTTGTCATTCCGTTTGTAACACCTCGAAATATACATTTTAGACCCCACAATGTATGTATATATTCTTGATCAGAATAAAATTCTATATCGATTTAGCTATGTCCGTCCGTCGGTTCGTCTGTGAAAACCACTTTAGCTTCCGAACGAATTGAAGTAGATTGATAAAATATTTGCCCAAATATATATTATGCCTGCAGGAATTTTGGTACTGAAAATGGGCCATGTAGGTCTACATTTTGATATAGCCCCCACATAACGGTACCTCCCGATATTCGGTATTTTGATGATTTTACCGAATTTATTCACCGGAATTGTTTCAAATTTAGTATTTGAAGTTCAAAATGGATACCACAGCCTACAACAAAAAATTGTCTGTGCAGGTCCACGTCTTCATATAGCCCCCATGTAATGGTACCTCCCTATATTCAGAGCTTCCAAAGGAGTAGTTTTCACCGGAGTAGTTTCAAATTACGTATTTAGAGTTCGTAATGGGAACTACAGTCCGTTATTTTGACGATATTAGGTACAACAGTCTCCGAAATTGTTTGAGATGTCGTAATTGAAGTTCGTAATGGAAGCTACAGCCTGTGACAGAAAATTGTCTATGTAGATCCAAGTCGTCGTATAGCTCCGATATAACGGTACCTCCCTATATATTTTGATGATTTTAAATATATTATTCACCGTTTAATTCAAGTTTCGAATTTGAATATGGTAATGGCTTATGACAAACAAAGCCTATGTAGATCCACGTCGTATAGATCCCAATATAACGACTGTATTCGGTATTTTTAAGATTTTAACAGAATTTTTTAAGGGATTTTATTTTTTGAGAAGGTCCAAATTCGTTCCAAATGGTGTAGGGTATTCAAAGTTCGGCCCGGCCTAACTTACTGCTTTTTAACTTGTTTTCATACCCTACACCTCATAGTGGTAAGGGTATTATGTCTTTGTGCATTTGTTTGTAACATGGAGAAGGAAACGAGATAGACCCATAGTTACTTTTGAGAACCTTCATAGAATCACTTTCTGAGTCGATTTATGCATGTCAGTCCGTCTGTCCGTCCGTCTGTCCATGTATTCTTGTGAACAAAATGCAGGTCGCATTTATTATCCGATCGAGATGAAATTTTCCAAACAATATTTTTTTGGCCCAAGGACGAACCCTATTGAAATTGGTGAGATTCGGATCAAATTTAGATATAGCTCCCATATATATTTTCATCCGATTTCGGGTTAAATGTGCACCAAATGTTCACTATCAGTCCAAATTACCTGAATTTTGGCACACCCAACCGAGTTCGGCCTAGAAGCAAGTATATCAAATTTGGAGAAAATAGGTTCAGATATAGCTATAGCTCCCATATATATCTTTCATCCGATTTGATCTTTAAGTCCCTCACATTCCTACTATGCACTCCACAACCGTGATATTTGGTACCAGGTATTAGATGGAGCACAGAAATAGCTGTTTTAAATTTTATCGAAATCGGTTCAGATTTGGATATAGCTCCCATATATATCTTCATCCGATTTCGGGTTAATTGACCACCAAATGACAAATATCAGCCCAAATGGTCCGAATTTTGGCACATGTGACCGAGATTAGCCTTAAAGCAAATACAACAAATTTGGAAAAAATCGGTTCAGAAACAGCTATAGCTCCCATATATATGTTTTATCCGATTTGGTGTTCAAGCCTCTCACATTCGTAATATGCACTCCACAAGAATGATATTTGGTACCAGATATAAGATACAGCCCAGAAATAGCTGTTTGTAATTTTATCGAAATCGGTTCAGATTTGGATATAGCTCCCATATATATCTTCATCCGATTTCGGGTTAATTGTGCACCAAATGGCCGATATAAGTCCAAATGGACTGAATTTTAGTACATCGGACCAAATTCAGCCTAGAAGCAAGTATATCAAATTTAGTGAAAATCGATTCAGATATAGATATAGCAACCATATATATGTTTCATCCGATTTAGTGTTTTAGTCCCATACATTCGTAATATTCACTCCACAACCGTGATATTTGGTACCAGGTATTAGATGGAACACAGGAATAGCCGTTTTAAATTTTATAGAAATCGGTTCAGATTTGGATATAGCTCCCATATATATCTTCATCCGATTTCGGGTTAAATGTGCACTAAATGGTCAATATCAGCCCAAATCACCTGAATTTTCGTACATAAGACCGAATTCAGTCTAGAAGCTAATACGTCAAATTTGGAGAAACCCGGTTCAGAGATAGCTATAGTTCTTAAAATGTACGATAAAATTATATAGATTTTGATTTTGTACCAAATATCGCATAGAGCTCTGAAATGCCCTGTATAAACCTTTTTACGAGAGCTCTACTTAATATGCATAGTTGTGTAGGGTATCATATAGTCGGCCCTGCCCGACTTTTGAGCTTTCCTTACTGTTTTTTTTTTTTTTTTTGAAAATTTGTAAATTCCATCCAAATGTTCGGCTCGGCCTAACTTGCTGCTTTTAAATTTTTTTTTTTTTTTTGAAAATTTGCTAATTGCTTCCAAATTGTGTATGATATCAAGGGATTGGCCCGGCCGAACTCGGACCTAATTAACTTTAATTATTTGTGAGTTTTGCACATTTATGAATTGATTGATAAGGAACCTGTCAAAAAGTTGGACGTAAAGACGTCATCCATATTCATAGCACAAAATACCACTTCGACGTATTGCAATGCACTTGAAATTGTTTATTTCGTAAAATTATTTCTATTATATAATTATCCATATGTTTTCATATCATTCATGTCCGAAATTCTGGCTTCTCTCAAAGTAATACGACTTTTCCACGGATTATCAAATTAAGCAACGGTAGTTGGTTCATCGACGGGAGCGGCAGTAGTTGGGGCCGAGGAGGATGATGAGACGGGGGCTGCACTGGACGATGAGGCGGTGGTGGTGGTTGTTGGGGCAGCAGTAGTTGGCACAGCGGAATTACCCAAGATACAGCTGTTCAAATTGCCATAAGCAACAGCGGAATCTTGTTCGTATTTAACTTCAGCCTGGGTATTGCAGATATCTTGTTGGCTCTTGATGTTATTGATCATTTCAACGAGGTCGGTCAATTGCATGGTGGCATTGGTGGAGATAGTGTAGAATTCTTTAGATTGATCAACGCCCTGGAAGAGAAATTTTAATTTGCTATTATTTTTTTAATTAAATTGAGGTTATGTTGTGGGTCTTACCTGGGTGATGTAACACTGGAAGACATCCTCAACAGTAGAGGCCTTGGGACACAAAGTCAAAGCAGCACAAGAAGCATTTACAGCACTGGCATAGCTGGTGCGGACAGCAAGGGTAGCGGCTTCGGCATTCAGTTCAGCAGCTGTGGCAACATTGGTGCAATTGGACAGCTCAGCAGCATAGGTCTGGGCAATTTCGTTGATAATGGGAATATAGTAGCTGAAACAAGCCATCGATTGATCAGGATTGGCTTGCATGCTGTCAGTGGAACTTGACATAAAATCCAAGAAGTTCAAGTTGGCTGGCAATTTGTTAAGAACCTGGGTATTGGCCATGGCCAAAGCCACACAGACGGTGATGAAAACAAAGGAACTCTTAGTGAAAGCCATAATTTCGTATTTGTTTTTTTCCAAATTGATCGTTTCAACTATTCAAATATCGGTAGGCAACTGTCTGAAATAGTACCAGTGCCAAAGTTTTTATAGCAAAAAAAACTGAATGTTCTTCAATTTCGGACATAATTTGTCATAAATTTGAAATATTTTCACCATTCATATCTTCTACAGGGACTGTCAAGATTCCACTCCACTCGGTAATTAATTATGTTATGGAAATCGATTTCGAGACCTTACACCACGCCCAAAGTCAAAAAGTTTATTTTTAATGAAAATTATTTTTATTTTTCTTGGAAGCAATGCATTTTTTTGCTCGTCCCTAATCAAAAATATTTGCGAATAGAAACAAATTTCAAAATATTTGCAAACTATCCATCATAATTTGGCTTCAGTGCTGTCAACATACAAATGTGACAGTAACAATAACAATACAGGGAATGGGAAATCCCATTATCGTCACCTCACATGGGTAAAAAAGAAAGTTAGGATTAATGAGGACGAAATTCATAGAAAAATTGGTTGCATATCAAGGCCTTTTTATATAAGGAATGTCAAGGTCTATTTTGCCTCTCTTCAAATAAACTTAAATTTCTGGTAGTTTTTAAAACGTGAATGTTAATAAAAAAAGTTAAAAACCAGGGCCGAACTTTGAATACCCTCAACCATTTGGAACGAATTTGGAAATTTAAAAAAAAAAAAATCTGTTAAAAATTCTTTTAAAATCTTAAAAATACCGAATGTAGCCGTTATATTGGGGTGTCTATGACGTGCAGGCTTTGGGCTTTGTTTGCCATAAGCCATTACCATATTCAAATTCGAAACTTGAACTAAACGGTGAATAATGTATCTAACATCATCGAAATACCGTATATAGGGAGGTACCGTTATATCGGAGCTATACAAAGACCTGCACCTGCATAGACAATTTTCTGTCACAGGCTGTAGCATCCATAACGAACTTCAAATACGACATTTCTCAAACAATTTCGGTATGTATTGTTCCTAAAATCATCAAAATACCGAAGATAGGTAGGTACTGATATGTGGGGCCTATACGTAGACCTGGACCTGCACACACAATTTTCTGTCACAGACTGTAGGTCCCATTACGAACTCTAAATACGTAATTTGAAACTACTATTGAATTTATAAAGGCCGACAAACCGTTCTGTTCGATTTAAAGTTTATTAACAGAATAAAATATGAAAAACAGAAATACAATTTTAATTACATTAAACAAAATTCAAAACCTACTAAGGATGAAATTTAACAAGTGAATGTATTCAAAGTATAATCCAATACTCCTCCTCATTCACTTTAAATTGCATTTCTCGCGTAAAGTTACATGTTTAGGTGCTGTTAGTGGTTTCGTTAATATATCGGCAATCATCTCCTCCGTTGGACAATATGTGCATCTAATTATTCCTTTCTTGACTAGGTCTTTTGTTAATTTATATTTTGTATCGATGTGTTTAGTTCGAAAAGAAAATTTGTCATCATTTACTAGACGCAAACAGCTTTGGTTGTCATTATAAATAAGAGTTGGTTCATTAATAGGATAATGAATTTCTTCTAATAGTTGCCTTAACCACTTTGCGTCTTTAGAAGCTTCAGATAATGAAATAAATTCAGCCTCGCATGTCGATGTTGCCACAATTGATTGTTTCTGGCAAGACCATCCTATCGTACCTCCATTATAAAAGTAAATTCTACCACTATTAGATTTCCTTTCGGTTCTTTCTTCTGCCCAATTTGCATCAGCATATCCAACAAGACTTTGTTCATTTTCATCATTGCTCAAATTAAGTTTTAACTGTGAAGTAGACTTAAGATATTTCAGAACCCTTTTACATTGAGACCAATCCTCCATTGTAGGGTTGGCAACCTTCTGAGCCAATATATTTACTGCAGCTGAAATGTCTGGTCGAGAATTGACAGAAATATATAAAAGTTGTCCAATTAATTTTCTATACTTCATATTTGTTTCAAGAAGTGTTGAATCTTCTGATTTTCCGTAACTAACATCCATTGGCGTTTTTACATTTTTAGAGTCCTGCATACCATATTCGTTTACAACTTTTCCAATATACGAAGATTGAAAGAGTTGAAAATTTCCTTTGTAATCTTGTGTTATTTCGATTCCCAGATAATGTTTAATTTTTCCTAAATTAACTATAGTGAAATTCTTTGACAAAGTATTACCAATATAATTCATCTGCGTCGATGTATTGCATGCTACAATTATGTCATCAACATAAACAAGAATGTAGCTCAATTTCCCAGAAATATTACCATAGTAGAAACATAAATCATTTATACACTGTTTGAAACCCATTTTTTCAAGCGCTTCGTGTAAAACCATATTCCATGATCTAGCAGCCTGCTTGAGGCCATATATACTTTTCTTCAATAGACAAACCTGCTCATTGTTATCTTGAAATCCTGGAGGTTGTTGCATAAAAATGGTTTCAGACAGCTTACCATTTAAAAATGCAGTCTTTACATCAAAATGATTAACCATCATTTTTTCTTTTCCAGCAATTGACAGCAGAATTCGAAACGAGGTATGTGTTGCAACAGGTGCAAAAACTTCATCGTAATCTACGCCGAATTTTTGAGAAAATCCTTGAGCAACGAGTCGGGCTTTAAATCTATTTACTTGTCCATCAACATCACGTTTCACTTTATATACCCATTTACTTCCGATTGCTGTTCTACCTTCGGGTAAACTGACAAGTTCCCATGTTTGATTTGCCTGTAGAGATTCTAGTTCATCTTGCATAGCTTCCAACCACTGCGCACGCTCGGTACTGTTAATTGCATCGTGGTATGATTTCGGTTCTCTAATTTCATTCGCTGACCATATTTCTTCAATTAGTCTTTTCGGTGCAGAACCTTTGTTGCATCTTTTGGATGTTCTAATATGTTGCTCACAAATATTGCTGTCTTGTGTTGAGTTAGTGCTTTCTTCATTTGGAATATTTATTGAATTTTCCTCTATATTATTTTCATCCGGTAAATTATTTCGGCCCTCAATTGGAATATTGATTGTATTTTCTTTTACTGAATTATTTTCGGGTATCTCCTCCTCAATCAATAATTCCTTAATCCTTGGATTTAAAGAAATGGAAACATTTTCAGCATCTATCTTGATAAAATCTGTGAATATCACATCGCGACTAATAACAACCTTCTTAGCATATTGATCATAACAACGAAAAGCCTTTGACTTCTCATCATAACCAAGGAAAATCATTTCGGTTGCTTTGCTGTCAAGTTTACGCCTTTTTTCAGTCGGAATATGTACAAAACATTTAGATCCAAAAACGTGAAACTTATCTACACTTGGTTTTATTCCGTACCATAGTTCATATGGAGTAGCATTGGTTGTTCTGGTTAAAACTCTGTTTTGTATAAAATTTGCTGTTGCAACTGCTTCTCCCCAAAATGTGTATGGTAAATCTGCCTCTGATAACATACATTCTACATCTATTAAAGTCCTATTCTTTCGTTCCGCCTTTCCATTCTGTTGTGGGGAATAGGGAGCAGTGAGTTGGTTTTCAATACCCTCACACTTGAGATAATCTTCGAATGCTTTTCCTGTGTATTCTCCACCTCTATCAGATCGAATTTTCTTAGGAATCTTACCGAATTTAGTACGACACAACATTACAAAATCTTTGAATGTCTGCAAAACTTCCGACTTTTGTGATATTAATCTTATTACAGTGAACCTAGAGAAATCATCTATAAATGTCACTATGAACCTTTTTCCAGATGGTGTAGTGGTTTGCATTGGACCGCATACGTCACTATGGATTAATTCCAAGGGAGCTGTAGATTTCGTCATTGATTGCCTTGGAAATGACAAGCGAGTCATTTTGCCTTTAACACAACTTTCGCAAATTTCCTTTATACCACAACCCACAATGTTTAAACCTTCAACCAATTTCTCATTACACATTTTTCTAATTGCTTCTGGATCACGGTGTCCAAGCCTCCGATGCCATTGATGTATGCAATTCTCGTTGTGCTGCAATACTGCATGAACAAAATCTGGTTGTCGCAAAATATACATTTCACCGTCAATATCCGCAATTCCGATATTATTATTTCCAGAATTTATGCAGCAATTATTATCTTTAAATGCAACGTTGTAGCCAGATTTCGTTAGTTGACTTACCGAGAGAATGTTACCAACTAAACAAGGAGCATATAGTACCTCTCTTAACGTTATTTTATGTTGGTTACCAAATTCATCATTCGTAATAATCTCACCCTCACCAATACCTTCAATAGCAATGGTTTGACCATTTGCTAATTCGATCGATCTCTTGTAATTGTGATTGAGATTCTTGAAAAACTTTCTTTCATTTACTGTATGTCGTGTTGCTCCAGAATCCACAAGCCAACAAAACTTCTTAGTATTGCCAATCTTGAATAAAAAATCTTCACTTTTGTTTTCTTCATTTACCTTTTCTTCGATTGAATTGATTTTATTGGGATTCTTTCCAGAATTTTGCTTTGTTTTCCAATATTTGTACTTGGTGCAATTCTTCTTTTGATGTCCGGACTTCTTACAAAAATAACATACACCATTTGTCCCAGCCACCACTTTTAAAATTGAGTCGTTTCCCTCATTGACTGAGTGTTGTTTCCTTTCAAATTCTGCAATTACACGTTGCTGCACTAATGCGAAGGTAATCTCTTCTTCCTTGCGAGATTCAAGCGATGTAATTAAGGCATCATATCCTTCCGGAAGACTGCTTAAGAGCATGGCAGCACTCCATTTATCTGACAAACCTTCTTCGCCGACATCCCGTAGTTTAGTAAATAAATCGTTCATTGCATTTATGTGACTAATTGCGTTACCTCCTTCTTGAAGTTTTAGACTACATATTGACCTCATCAAATATACCTTATTGGTGAGTGTGTTCTTTTCATGGTAGTCTTTAAGAGCGCTCCAGGTAGCTTTAGCCGTTTTCGCACTTCGGATGTGCCCAAGCTGGTCATCCATAACGAGCAATCCAATTGTTCCCCGTGCCTCGTCATCTTTCATATCCCATGCGTCAAG